ACACACACACACACACACACACACAGTCCCATTTTTTATAGCCAACCTATCTGTACCTTTAAATCCAAAGTTTGTCTCCTGGGCTGGGCACGGTGGCTCACACCTGTAATCCCAGCACTTTGGGAGGCCGAGGTGGGTGCATCACCTGAAGTCAGGAGTTTGAGACCAGGCTGGCCAACATGGTGAAACCCCATCTCTACTAAAAATACTAAAATGAGCTGGGTGTCTTGGCACACGCCTGTAATCTCAGCTATTCAGGAGGCTGAAGCAGGAGAATTGCTTGAATCCTGAAAACAGAGGTTGCAGTGAGCTGAGATCACGCCACTGCATTCCAGCCTAAAAAAAAAAAAAAAAAAAAAAGTGTGTCTCCTGTAGACAGCATGTACAGGCACACTACATGATGTTGCACTCGGCTTTACTGCACTTTGCAGGTGTTGCATTTTTTTTCTTTGAATGTTTGCAGCCACCCTGAGTGAAGCAAGCCTGTCAGGGCCATTTCCCAATAGCAGGCACTCACTGCACATCTGCGTGTCACATTTTGATAATTCTCACAACCTTTCAGACTTTGTCATTGTGATTATCTCTGCTATGCTCATCTGTGGCCAGTGATCTTTGACATAACCATTGTAATTATTTGGGGGTGCCATGGACCACAGCCACACAAAAAGTTGAACTGAATAAATTAATGTGGCGTGTGTTCTGACCGCTCCACTGATCAGCCATTCCTCCATCTCTGTCCCTTTCCTCAGGCCTCCGTATTCTCTGACACATATCAATCTTGGAATTAGGCCAACTAGCAACCTTACAAAGGCCCCTTAGTGTACAAGAGAAAGGAGAGTCACGCATCTCTCACTTTAAATTAAAAGCCGTAAATGATTAAGCTGGTTGAGAAAGACATGCAAAAGCAGAGACAGGCCACAAGCTAGACCTCTTCTTGCACAGAGAAACAGAATTAGAAGTGGAGCCTGAAGATGCGGCTGAAAAGCTACAGTCTCATAATAAAACTTGGACAGATGAGTACAAGATGAATACTATTCCTGGTGAAGATGCCATAAGCACGGTTGAAGTTACAACAAAGAATGCGGAATATGACATGAACTTATTTGATAATGCGGTGGCAAAGTTTGAGAGGACGGCCTCCGATTTTGAAAGAAGTTCAATGTAAGTGTTGTCAGACAGCATTACATGCTACAGAGAAATGTTTCTTAAAGGGAAGCATCGACTGATGTGGCAAACTTGATCATTCTTATTTGAAGAAATTGCCAAAGCCACTCCAAACTTCAGCAGTCACCACACTGAAAAGTCAGCAGCCATCAATATCAAGGTGAGACCTTCCACCAGCAAAAAGATTACAACTTGCTGAAGGGTCAGGTGATTGGTATCACTTTTTAGCAATAAGGTATTTTTAATTAAGGTATGTATATTTTTAGACATAATGCTCCTGCTCACTTAATAAACTACAGTATAGTGTAAACACAACATATATGCACAGAGAAACGAAAACATTGTGTGACGCACTCTATTGCAATATTTGCTGTATGGAGGTGATCTGGAATCAAACTCACAATATCTCCAAGGTACTCAGGTAGCTAAAACTATCATGTGGCTCATGCCTGTAATCCCAGCACTTTGGGAGGCCGAGGCAGGCAGATCACTTGAGGTCAGGAGTTCAGGATCAGCTCTGCCTCTTAAGTTTCTAGTCAGTTCTAGTGATCTGTTCATTCCAGCATCAGTACCCCCCACTATTTTAGAGTTCTCAGTATTTGACAGAGCAAGGGTCTCCTTGTTTTCAACAAAGATGTTGAAAGCTAGGAAGACTCGCTTATTTTTGTTCTTATTTTTAGAGGAAAATTAAACTAGCTTTTGTTTCTTTAAAATCCTGTTGTAATTCTAACTTTCAAATAGGTTACATTTTAGAATAACTCAGAATATGCATCTTTGCAACAGCTCATCTTTTTCATCTAGAATCTTGGTTATTTCTGCCCATTTAGTAAATGTTTGCTTTAGGCAGCCGGCGCCCGCCACAGCCGCCGCTGGGTCCTGGAGCCAGAGGCCGCCCCGAGACTGTGCGCGATGGACCGAGGGCCCCAGCCAGGGAGGCGCTGGAGCCGAGCCCGCGGCCAGGCGGCCCCTTAGTAGCGCCCACACCTGGAGTCGCGGCGCTGGCCGGAGCCGTGGACGCGCCCGAGGGGCGGGCTCGCCTCCCGCCAGCCCTCGCAGCTCGGGCCGCGCGGCCAGGGAAACACAGCCGCGGGCTGCACGCACAGCGCCCCCGCCCCGCCGCGGAGCCCTCAGAGCCCGATGATATACATCCCTGCTCTGGGATACACCTCCACTGGATTTAAGAGACCGTCCTCATCAGCACTGACTTTCAGCCACGGACTCGCAGACGGTTGATGATGAAGCGCGAGCCATGTAAATGAAGATCGGGTGAGGAGCAGAACGATGCCCAAGGGTGGGTGCCCTAAAGCGCCACAACGGGAAGACCTTTCCCTTAGCAGCGACGTGGCGGGCGGAGAAGCAGACTGGAAAAAAGGATAACGCTTCTCTAACCAAGACCCCAAAGCTGGAGTGTGGCGATGGCGGGAAGGAGGCGAGGGAGCGAGCCAGCAAGCGGAAGCTGCCCTTTACCGCGGGCGCAAACGCGGAGCAGAAGGACTCGGCACAGACGCCTCCAGCCCAGTCCCTGTTGTGGTGCCGCAAGGCTGGTGCGCTCCTCGAAGCACCATGCCATGAGATGGAGGTGCCGGGAAGCAAGAAGAGAGAGAAGCAGGGCCCTGAGCGGAAGAGGATTAAGGAACCTGTCACCCGGAAGGCCTGGCTGCTGTTTGGCATGCGGCTGTCTGGAATCCGAGCCGGCCACCCTCTCTCCGAGCGCCAGCAGGTGGCCCTTGTCATGCAGATGACAGCCGAGAAGTCCGCCTACAGCCCCGTGGACACAACGCCAAAGCAGCCCTCCCAGTCTACAGTGTGTCAGAAGGGAACGCCCAACTCTGCCTCGAAAACCAAAGATAAAGTGAACAAGAGAAACGAGCGAGAAGAGACCCGCCTGCACTGAGCGGCCATCGGGGGATGCCCGGTGCATCAGGGAGCTCATCGGCGAGGGGGCGGATGTCAACGTCAAGGACTTCGCAGGCTGGACGGCGCTGCACGAGGCCTGTAACCGGGGCTACTACGGCGTCGCGAAGCAGCTGCTGGCTGCAGGTGCGGAGCTGAACACCAAGGGCCTGGATGACGACACGCCTTTGAACGATGCTGCCAACAACGGACACTACAAGGTTAGCATCTCCCCTCGGCCCTTCACACCGGACTGTCCTGGCATCTGGGTGGTTCTGGAGCTTTGCCCCCGCAGCCAGTTACCTTGTGTGGGACACCGGAAAGCAAGTTTTTGCCACCCCTCACCCTGAAGGCCAAGCTATGCCCTCTGCCTGCCTCCAGCTTTCCCATCTGGGGTCAGCACCTGGACGGCCTCTCACAGGTTTCGCAGCAAGCGCCATCTGTGGAAAGGCTCATATCCACTAGCCGTTTAGGTCTGGTTGGATTTTAGCAGGTGAAGGATTCCACAAAGTGGAAGGAGGCCTGCAGTTGCTGCTGCTGGTCCCCGTCAACACTGTGCGGCTGTTATACCTGCAAGGCAGAACCACTCTCATCTGGAATGAGGTAACACCAAGAGGTGTGGCCAGTACATAGGACATAGGCCCAAGATTTAGAAAGTGGCCATTGTGGCCGGCCCAGGAGCAGTGGGCCTGAGAGGTCTCAGCCTCTGTGGGGGGCGAGAGAGGTCGTGGGGTCCCTGACACCTCCATCCTGCTGGAAAGCAAGGGTGCTGCCTGGAGATGGGGCGGGTCTCCCTGAAGTCATCAGCAGAGCTTTGTGGAGAGCCCCTGCTTACAGGCAGGACATCAAGGCCGGGTGCACACTGCCCTCGCCCGTCAGGCTCCTCTGCAGCAAGCCCCGCCTGGCCACTGCGGGAGGTCCTGGAGCCCGCAGCACCTTGGCCTTAAGGAGCACACTTGGAACACGGCTCGTATCTGCAGGGTGGGGGGTGACTGAAGACTCTGAGACAATCAGGGATCTCATAACACTGAGTCAGTGTTTGATGTTAAAACGTGACCATTAAACTTGTAGGTCAGATGATTTAAAAAAAAAAAAAAAAAGTTTACTTTATGCCTCAAGAGAGAATTTAAAGACCATACCTGATTCTTAGTATCTTAATGCACAGATTGTTTGCTGATAATGTGCTGCATACTGTATTTTAATCTTAGTATTTTTGATTGCCATTCACATATAATAACAGGTATGACTTATTGAGTGCTCTCTGCATGTCAGCTCTTTAAGTACATTATTCCTTAATTTTCTCCTCACCCCAACCCATTTTTCACATTAAAAAAACCCTGAGTCTTAAAGAACACAAGTGACCTGCCTGAGGCATTACAGCCAGGCAGTGGCAGTGCTTAGACTTTAATATAGACTTCCCAGAGGACGGTCTTTATCACTGCAATACATGGCTTACTGGGACCATGAAAGTTTAGGGTCTATTTGTTTTCTGACCAGTCACTTCACTGACTAATCACAACAATCTTTTTCTTTCTAATGATGTTTCCACTGATTTTCTTAGATTTCCCAGAGAGATCATTATATCAGCAAGTAATAATAATTATCCTTTCTCTTTTCCAATATTTTATTTCTCTACTTCCAACTGGACAAAAATCATTTCTTGTAATGCATATGCCTGTATTCAATACCATGTAAAACCCTATAAAATTATAACATAACAACAAGACTATTAGAAGATGGCAGGATTAAAAATGAGGCATAGACATTGTTTTTATAATTGTAAGTCAGGTTAGAAGTTGCTGGAATAATTAAGTTGCATACCTTCTATATTCTGTTTTTGCACCTATAATGACCTGATGCTTTTATGATTTTTAAAATTTAGTCCAAGATATTTTAATACTGGGAGAACAGTTGATTTTGCTTATCTTTGTGTTCTTAATCAAATGAGGGCACTTAAATATTTGTTGGTGTTAATTTGCAGAAAGTTGGGGGAATGGATGGAGATCACCATAGTGAGAACTCACAGTTCCTACTCCTGGGGATGTCGGAGAGTCCCGAGCAGCAGCTGATCCTGTTTTGGATGTTCCTGTCCATGTACCTGGTCATGGTGGTGGGAAATGTGCTCATCATCCTGGCCATCAGCTCTGATTCCCACCTGCATACTCCTATGTACTTCTTCCTGGCCAACCTCTCCTTCACTGACCTCTTTGTCACCAATACAATCCCCAAGATGCTGGTGAACCTCCAGTCCCAGAATAAAGCCATCTCCTATGCAGGGTGTCTGATGCAGCTCTGCTTCCTGGTCTCCTTGGTGACCCTGGACAACCTCATCCTGGCTGTGATAGCATATGACCGCTATGTGGCCATCTGCTGCCCCTCCACTATGTCACAGCCATGAGCCCTGGGCTCTGTATCTTGCTCCTCTGCTTGTGTTGGGGGTGGTCTGTTCTCTATGGCCTCCTCCTCACCCTCCTCATGACCAGGGTGACCCTCTGTGGGCCTCGGGAGATCTACTACCTCTTCTGTGAGATGTACGTCCTGCTGCGGCTGGCATGTTCCAACACCCACATCATTCACACAGTGCTGGTTACCAGTGGCTGCTTCATCTTCATTATACCCTTAGGGTTCATGATCATATCCTGTGTACGTATTGTCAGAACCATCCTTCAAATACCCTCAGCCTCTAAAAAATACAAAGCCTTCTCTACCTGTGCCTCACATTTGGGTGTGGTCTCCCTCTTTTATGGGACACTTGCTATGGTATACCTGCAGCCCCTGCACACCTACTCTGTGAAGGACTCAGTAGCCACAGTGATGTATGCGGTGGTGACACCCATGATGAACCCTTTCATCTCATCTACAGCCTGAGGAACAAGGACATGCATAAAGCTCTGGGAAGACTCTTAAGGAGACCCTTTCAGAGGCTTAAATGCAGGTAATTTTGGAAAGGGGACTGAAGTGGAGACCAAAAATATCCTCCACTGTATATAAGGCATTATGCTGTGGGATATGCAACAGTAATCAGGGTACAGCTTCGGCTCAGAATGACCATTTCTATCTGTGCTAAAGAAAAGACATACTGTGTATCCCAGGGCCTCCCAGACCTCACCAGCCTTGGCAACAAATAATGTCATGCTAACACTACTAACAGATTTTACGGAATCAAATACTTAAATCTGCTTGATCATAGGCCCACAGACCTAGGCTTACCTATATATACCCAGTTATGGTGTAGGGAGGTCTCTCATGTTCTCTAGCACTCATTCACTTATGATCCAGAGGTCTGGCTTCCCTAAGGAGCCTGCTACCCTCAAGCTCTTTGGAGAAGACATTTTGCACTACCCCTACCACAAATGCCCTGGGTGAGGCTTCCCCTTTCCTGATGTTCAAACAGGTACAACATGTACCACTTCAATGCTGACATACAGTCACTCTGGACACAGCCCATATGGTTCATACAGAAATGCCAACAAGATTCCTCTTGCGCTCTGGGTTGGGTTGATTTTATCTTTTGGGCCTCAAAGTGACATTCTCTTGCCTTTTCCTGCAGCATGCCTTTTCTCTGTAGGAAGTCAGGCCCTGTCCTTGGAAAGACCATCCTATCTTTTATTTTTGTAGTTCCTCACCTTCCTTCTCTTCTTCATGCAAGAATTCCATTCACCCCTCAAAACAAAACTCTCAAACATCAATGCATATTCATAAGTAGCAGTGGTAGTAGGGCCAGTAGAAGGGGAGGATTCTGGAACAAATGAACAATTTAGTGATCCCAGAGAACCTTAAGGAAATATCAGTGTCATCGCTTCTCGGCCTTTTGGCTAAGATCAAGTGTAGGAAATATCAGTGTCTGGCAGTACTCCTTGTGGCTGGGGTGGTGGTGGCTACAGATGAGGCTCCTCTGCCTTTGGAAAGGGAGGGAAGAGCAGGAAGGACTGTGACTTGCGGTTTGAGGGCTAGCTCAGCCACAGTATAACAGAATAGCAAGTAGATCTCTAACTGTTTTGACTCCAGTCCCTGACCCCCAGACAGCACTTCTGGACCTACCTAGGGTCTGGGAGAACATGGCACCTGGAAGGGAAGGATACAGGCCTGGATGGCTTTGCCACCTGCTTATTGTAAAGCCCCAGGGCCTTGAGCAAACATACTCAGTAGCCAAAGAGTAGTTAAGGCAGGCCTTTGGCAAGACCCAGCACTGTGCTGGCTTAAAGTCTGACCCCATGCAGTCAAAGTGGTCGTGGCCACAGGGGTGCTTGTGTCATTTTACCCCCAGGCTTTATGTGGCTCAGAACAGAGACCATGACTCTGTATGTTTGGAAAAAAGTAAGGGAGGAGTACAAGAGTCTCTGCTTGGTAATCAAGAGAATTATTCTGCATCTTTTCCAAGACGATCAAGGTGGTACCTCTATGAGTCTACATGAACCCCCAACATTACTGGGCTTGGGGTGCCTTCTAAAGATTGTGACACCCAAGATATTTCAAATATATAAAAAGTCTTCCCAAGAAGGATGACTAAAATTAAGCCCAGATAGTGAAGATTACAATAAATCCTAAACTCAATGCGCAGACACAGATGAATATCTACAAGTAAGAAGACCATGCAGGAAAACATGACCTCACCAAATGAACTAAATAAGGCACCAGAGACTCATTCTGGAGAAACAGAGATACGCGACCTTTCAGACACAGAATTCAAAATAGCTGTGTGAGGAAACTCAAAGAAACTCAAGATAACACAGAGAAGGAATTCAGAATTCTATCAGATAAATTTAATAGAGAGACTGAAATAATATTTAAAAATCAAGTGCAAATTCCAGAGCTCAAAAATACAACTGGCATGCTGGAGAATGCATCAGAGTCCTTTAACAGCAGAATGGATCAAGCAGAAGAATTAGTGCGCATGAAGATACCCTATTTGAAAATATGCAGAGGATACATTAAAAAAAATTAAGTATACCTACAGGATCTATAAAATAGCCCCAAATGATACAAATCTAAGACTTATTGGGCTTAAAGAGATGGTAGAGAACACGATAGAGGCAGAACATTTATTCACAGAGATAATAACAGAGAACTTCCCCAACCTAGAGAAAGATATTACATCCAAGTACAAGAAGGCTATAGAACACTAAGAAGATTTAACTCAAAGAAAAGTCTCTCAAGGCATTTAATAATCAAACTCCTGAAGATAAAAGATAAAGAAAGGATTCTAAAAGCACCAAGAGAAAAGAAACAACATAGAATGGAGCTCCAAAATGTCTGGAAAAACTCAGAATAGTGTAATACTGTAATTGTGGTGTGTAAACTACTCTTATCATAAATGGAATTCTAGACTAAATAATGAACCAATCAAAAATAATAACCACAACGTCTTTTCAAGACATAGTCAGTACAATAAGATATAAATAGAAACAACAAAGTTAGAAAGCATGAGGACAAAGCTAGGGCAATTGCTATAACAATTTTAAATATATACACACCCAACATGGGAACACCCACATATATACAGGGAATATTATCAGAGCTAAAGAGAGAGATGGGCCCCAATACAGTAATAGGTGGAGACCTCAACACCCCATGTTTAGCACTGGACAGATCTTCCAGACAGAAAATTGACACAGAAACAACAGACTGAAACTGCACTACAGAACAAATGAGTCTAATAGATATTTACAGAACATTTCACCCAAGAGCTGCAGAATACACATGCGTTACCTAAGCACATGGATAGATCATATGTTAGGTCTCAAACAAGTCTTAAAACATACAAAAGCTAAAATAATATCAAGCATTTTCCTTGACCACAATAGAATAAAACTAGAAATCAGTAACAGGAGGAATTTTGGAAATGACATGGAAATTAAACAATATGCTCCTGAATGATCAGCAAGTCAATGAAGGAATTAAGATGGAAATTTAAAAAATTATTGAAACCAATGAAAATGGGAAACACAACATACCAAAACCTATGGGATACGGCAAAAGCACACTAAGAGGGAAGTTTACAGGTATAAGTACCTACATCAGAAAAGGACAAAACCTTCAAACAAACAATCTAAATGATGTCTTTTTATGAACTGGAAACACAAGAGTAAACCAAACCAAAATGGTAGAAGAAAGAATAAAGATCAGAGCAGAAATAAGTGAAATTGAACTGAAAAATAACATACAAAAGATCAATGAAACAAAACTTTTTTTTTGCAAAGTTAAACAAAATTGACAAGCCTTGGGGGAGGAATGGAGGGGTGGGGAGGTGGGGAGAGATAGGATAGGGAGAAATGCCAGATATAGGTGAAGGGGAGGAAGGCAGCAAATCACACCGCCATGTGTGTACCTATGCAAAAATCTCGCATGTTCTTCACATGTACCCCAAAACCTAAAATGCAATAAAAAAAGGGGAAAAAAAATTGACAAGCCTTTAGCCAGACTAAGAAAAAGAGAAGATCCAAATAAATAAAAATGAAAAAGAGACACTATAACTAATGCTGTGGAAATCTAAAGGATCTTAGTGGCTATTATGAGAAACTATATGCCAATAAATTGGAAAATCTAGAAGAAATGGACAAATTGCTGGGCACATACAATGTGACAAGATTGAATCAGGATGAAATCCAAAAGCTGAACAAACCAATAACAAGTAACAAGATTGAAGCCATAATCAAAAGTCTTCCAGTAAAGAAATGCCCAGGACCTGATAAATTTACTGCTGAATTCAACCAAACATTTAAAAAAGAACTAACACCAATCCTGCTCATACTATTTCAAAAAACAGAGGAAGAAGGAATACTTCCAAACTCATTCTAGGAGGCCAGTACTACCCTGATACCAAAACCAGACAAAAACACATCAAAAAAAGAAAAACTGGGAGAGATCCAAGATGGCTGATCACTAGCAGCTCGGGACTGTAGCTCCCAGTGAAAACGCAAAGAAAGAGAGGACGCCACACCTTCACATGAATTCTTGTTGCTCATGCACCAGGAGATTCCCAGCGGAGGAGCCCCACGGGTCACCAGCGCGACTCTTGTGACCGGCGAGGAGGTTTTGCTGGCACCTCGGAGCGTCGGTTCTTGGTGCAGAGTCAGAAAAGCACCATCAATTTTAACGCCGCTGATTTAGTTGGCGCAGTGGGTTGCTCAGATTTCGGCCGCTGAAAATCAATAAGTTGGACGTCCACTCAGAAACCCAATTACAAAAACAGTAATTATAAAGACCACAGATGGATAAATCTACAACGAAGGGAAGAAAACAGTCAAAAAAAGGCTGAGAATACCCAAGATCAGAATGCCTCTCCCTTAGCAGGGGATCCCAGTTCCTCATCAGCAACGAAACAAGGCTTGATGGAGAACGAGTGTGTTCCAATTACAGAAGCAGGCTTCAAAATGTGGATAATAAGAAACTTCTGTGAATTAAAAGAACTTGTTCTAACACAATCTAAAGAAACAAATAACTTTGAAAAAACGTTTGACGAAATGTCAACAAGAATACAAAATTTAGAGAGGAAAATAAGTGAATTGATGGAGCTGAAAAACACAATATGAGAACTACATGAAGTATGCACAAGTTTTAACAGCCAAATTGATCAAGCAGAAGAAAGGATATCAGAGGTCGAAGACCAACTCAATGAAATAAAACTAGAAGACAAGATTAAAGAAAAAAGGATAAAAAGGAATGAGCAAAGTCTCCAAGAAATATGGGACTATGTGAAAAGACCTAATCTACGCTTGATAGGTGTACCTGAATGTGACGAAGAGAATGAATCCAAGCTGGAAAATACGCTTCAGGATATTATTCAGGAAAATTTTCCCAACCTAGTATGGCAGGATAATATTCAACTCCAGGTAATACAGAGAACACCACAAAGATATTCCTCAAGAAGAGCAACTCCAAGGCACATAATCGTCAGATTCACCAGGGTTGAAATGAAGGAGAAAATACTAAGGGCAGCCAGAGAGAAAGGTCAGGTTACCCACAAAGGGAAGCCTATCAGACTTACAGCAGATCTCTCAGCAGAAACCCTACAAGCCAGAAGAGAGTGGGGACCAATATTCAACATCCTTAAAGAAAAGAACTTTCAACCAAGAATTTCACATCCAGCCAAACTAAGCTTCATAAGTGAAGGAAAAATAAAGTTTTTTGTGAACAAGCAAGCACTCAGAGAATTCATCACCATCAGACCTGCTTTACAAGAGCTTCTGAAAGAACCACGACACACAGAAAGGAACAAACAGTATCAGCCTTTCTAAAAAATACCAAAAAGTAAAGAACATCAATGTAATGAAGAATTTACATCAACTAATGGGCAAATTAGCCAGCTAATATTAAATGGCAGTATTAAACTCACATATATCATTATTAAATCTAAATTTAAATTGACTAAATTCCCCAATTCAAAGACAGACAGGCAATTTGGACAAAAAACTAAAACCCATCGGTATGCTGCATCCAGACCCATCTCACATTCAAGGATACACAAAGACTCAAAACAAGGGATGGAGAGAGACTTACCAACCAAACAGAGAGCAAAAATAAATAAATAAAAAGCAGAAGTTACAATTTTTGCCACTGATAAAATAGTCTTTAAAGCAACAAAGATCAAAAGAAGCAAAGAAGGACATTATATAATGATAAAAGAATCAACACAACAACAAGAAGAGTTAAAGATCCTAAATATATACGCACCCAATACAGGAATACCCAGACAAACAAGACTTATAAAGAGACTTAGACTCCCACACAATAATAGTGGGAGACTTCAACATTAATATTAGACAGATCAATGAGACAGAAAATTAACAACGATATCCAGGACTTGAACTCAGATCTGGAACAAGTAAACGTAATTAACATTTATAGAACTCTCCACTTTACACAAAATATACACTCTTATCAGTACCACATCATATCAACTTAGAAGTTTAAACGAAATCTTGGTTGGCTCCTTGTTTGTTATTCTCTTCCCTCATTTTCTTTCATGTCTCCATTATTAAGGACAATTATAGGCATACCCATATTTAGACTGCATTCTAGACCGGGCAACAAAGCAATACCCCCATTCTCTCTCCCTCTTCCTCTTTCTTCCTCTTATTTATTCTTTTTCTTATTATTATTTTCTTTCTAAAAGAAAAAAAAACCTGCACAGGTACCTCTGAACCTAAAATAAAAGTTTAAAAAAAAAGGATAAACTAAATCAAAAGAAAGCATAAGAAAAAAAAAAAAAGAAAAGAAAAACCACAG